TCCTTTACAATACAGGTCATAAATGCTAGCAGTGATTCAGTCAAAGTCCCTAAAAACATTACATCTACGTAAAATTTTAAAAAAGAAAAACTCTACATGGACATGGTATTCTCTTGGGGGAAACCTCCATTATCTTCTTTTAAATGTAGTAAGTCCTTGGGCTTCCACCTTGATTTTTTTTTTTTGATATAATGTAATTTAATTTTTGTAGTTATTTTTGAGGCTGGACAGAATATTGTTTTAATCAAGTTCTTTTTACCCTCTCCTACCACCATTACAAAGTAGAGCATTGTCTCTAATGACACCCTTTGTACTTTTCTGGTTCCACATCTCCCCTCCCTCAACCTACACAAGGTTCCTTGCCGCCCATTTGTCTAACAAGATTCCTGCATATTCAGCTCAATTTCCTTCAACTGCCATCTCACAGGTTTTCAGTTTATTGAAGACAAGCCCATCAGTTTGAAAGCAGAACTGCAGTAATGCCCATGAAGTGTTTTAAAGCTTGTCGCTGCTCTGGGGGAAACAATGTTGTCATCCCTTAATATTTTAGCGGCTGTTTCTCACCTCTTTAAGGCAGCACACTTTTCTCAACCTAACAAAAAGATAAAATAGCCCTAAGAATGGTAATAAAAATAAAACCAGAAAATTTATCTGTATAAAACATGTTCAGTTTTATCTAAGTATGTGAGAAGTGAGCACACAAATGTCCAAGAAAACGAATGTCTCTGGAACATACCATACTGTCTCCAATGTCATTGCTATCACATAGCATCCATGATGATAACCAGTCCATAAATCTGTACTCAAAAACTCAAAGATGATTATTTTTGTTTTTTGCATTTTATACATTTGAAGATGGTTTCCATGTACAGATAGATTTTTCAGAGTTCACTTTAATTTTCAAAATTAACATTCTTGTTTCTTCTTTAAATTTTAGCTCCAATTTATGAATAATTTTGTGTTTCCTAAACATAGCAAGTTTTCACAATCATATTTACTTACTGTCTATATTTATAAATTAAAATTTTAAACTATAGTTTTAATATTTTTGATTTACTTTTTAATATTTCAAGTTTCTTGATATTCTTCTCATATATTTAAATAAGTCATATCAGCCAAGAAATAGTTATTTCTCATTTCTCCTAAATTTTGCAATAGTGTTTTAAGAATTTGATAGTTTTTCTGATAATTTTCATCTAAAAGCACAAATTGAAGAAGTTATATATTTGTATACTTTATACTGAAAAACATAGGACTATCCACTTACTACAATAAGCCATCCTTCTTAACCATATTAATAGCAAGTTAGAACAAACTTCTGACCTAAAAATGACTCTTTTATAAATTTAAACTTTATCCTTTGAAACTTTCTATAATTAGTTTTTCTCTTTGAAGTTGAAAGATGTTACCTACTTGTGGGAAAAATATGTCACCTTAAACAAATCCAAAGTTATAGTTCCAAGTAATGTTTACTGATGTTTTTCACTTTGAACACATTTCTGATTGGCTGGACATACAGACTAGGATTATAAGAAGGGAGCTTTAGATATCATTTTGTTTTCATGATCCTGGCTTCAACTATGTTTTGGATCCCAAAATCTAATGGGAGTTGATAAGATATCTTGTATCTGGGTTAGATTCATATCTTTCTTCCGTCTAGCTGTGAGAGCTGGTAATCTCATACATGCAGCAACATTCCTTGACTTAGCTTTGTATTTCTTCAGCCCAAGCTTGGAAGATTTCTGAATTTGCAGAGAACACTTCATTCTTTTCATATTCCTCTTATCTCTTAGAGTCAGAACTCTTCTAGATACTTAAATAACATCAGATTGTATTCTGGATCTTTCTCAGATCTTAGTATAAGTGCTTTAAACTTCTTGTGATTTATAGACAAGATATTCTGTCCAATATAAGCTATCTCTTTTAATAAGCAGAGTAGCTCATAGTGAATATTTGAGTCCAAAGCTAATCCAGCCAATTTGCAAACTGACCAACTAAATGGATCTTAATAATAAAGAATAAAAGAAGGGCCAGGGATTTAGCTCAGTGGGGCCACACCAGCCTTGCAAGTGCAAGGTCGTGAGTTCAATTCCCAGTCCCCCCCGCCAAAAAAAAGAATAAAAGAATAGCATGTAAAGTAGCTGGGCAGACCTACAAGCCTATCCATACTCTGACACCACCGTAGGCCATTTTTACTTGATGAATTATCTACTTTAATCATAATATTTAAGTTCTAATGGGTCCTTTAAATATTTTTTCAACACTGATGCATAATATCCTTAATTTTCCCTCATATTTACAAGGTAAGGTTAGAAGTATTTACAAGTAAATTATCAGTTATGGTATCTTATTTAGGGGGGAAGAACTAGAAACAATGTTGAAGCTCTTTGAATAAAAGCTGAGTAATTACCAGGCATTTAGTTTTTGCAACAAAAGATAATGGGGTTTTTTTGGGGGGGGTGGTACTGGGGATCAAACTCCAGTCTTTGTGCTTGTGAGGCAGGCGTCGGAACCACTGAACTAAATCCCCGGCCCTTTTTGTTTGTTTGTTTTCAAAAGATAATGGTTGTTTGTGTATTTACTATGTGTTCCACAGAAATAAGTGCACACTTGTGCCCTTCTTTTCTCTATTGATACATCTATAGGCTATGATATTAAGATCATTTTAAATAAATGCTCAGAGAAAGATGCTCAGAGATTTTCAAAAGACAGACTGTTATTCAAGAATCCAGAAATGTACAAGCCAAGTTAAATGCTTAGCCAATTTACAACTTCATTACTTGAATATCTGTAAGTTGTTCAATTCTTTCACCTTATTACCCTGGCAACATTCATTCCACCTTAGAGCTATGAATAGGAAAGAATCTGTCATATAGGGCCACTGCCTCCAGACTATGAATCTTTTGTTAAATTTTTCTGTAGTTAGTAAAGTTATGATTGCCTATTATTTTCAAAACTCAGAGACTCTTCCTAGTCATAAATTTAAATATCACTGAATATTAAAACCATAAATCATGTGCTCGTCTTTCTGGGGGAGATGTAAACAATGGAGAAAGGCAGAGACAAAAATACAGCTATCAACTTTACCAGAAAATATGATGTAATTCCTAGATATCAGATCTCCCTACATTCAGTAGAACTCCCTTTTCTACAAGGTGGGCATGAGTCAAAACAAACATGCAAAAAAGACCACAGCGCCTCTGACATTCCCTGAAGTAAGCATTTGGGGAAAGTCAATTCTATCTTCACCGTGGAGGGCCTTATCACTTCTTTGTGTAGGCATTGGTTTGTGTCTGGCCGTCTTTCCAGAATCTTTCTTTGAGGGCATGGGGAAGACAGAAATTGCTCCCACCAGTTCCCAAAAAGCAAGCAGATAGAGAAGGGAAGCGGTTAGTCATCCTCCTCTGAACAAGATTCTCAAAAATTTTACTTATACTTTTACATAGAGACATCTTAAACATGTCAGCTTCAGTAATGCTAAACACATTTTCTTTGTGTCAAAATCTCTTTTCTTAGTAGTTAAAAGGGATACTCTTAGAAGATATTTTTCAGGCATGAATACCTCTTTGACATACCCAATATTTAGTTTTCAAATATATGAAGAAGCTTAAAGATAGTGTTACATATTGTAAATAACTTTTAAAATTGTTACATTTTAAAATTTTCTATTTATTGCATATATTAGAGACATTCAGCCTGATCTTTTGATATACATATAGATAATGAGAATGATGGGAAACAGGTGTATTAAATATTGAAGCTTCATGTGAATTTGAGTGACTATAGAACTGTCCCTTGCTTCTTCATGTAAGGTCTTACTTTCTAAATATGTTATTAACTACTGTCCAGTCACAATAGGAACACAAATTTTTCAGGTAGAATACTTTATAAATATTATAATTTCAAAAATAATGTTATGACTTGGGACTAAAAAGTTCAATTTGAAAGTCATTCTTTTCAACAGATAAGTATATCATTAAATTATTTTTCCATTGAGGACAAATTTCGAAAAACATTTTTGTGTAGTATATATATATATGTATATATATACACACACACCTATATATTCTCTATTTTATATCTTTGTACCTTGTAACTTACTAGAGAACAGGCTACCGTTTTAGATATTTTTTTGTTATTGGTAGATGCACAAATGCTTGGTTTGATCTCTCTATGCAGTTATGGAAATGAGCTTGTCAATCTATATGGTAATTAATGTAAATGTATATTAATTAAAGTCTCATTCAAATTTCCTTCTATAATTTTGTCAATTAACTTAAATTTTCTATATGTGAATAACATTCTTATTAACTTCACTTTTCAAGGTAAACCATTATTGTTTTTAAAATTTATTTAATTAAACCAAAATGTATTATATTTTTATAACACTGTACATTGTGAAGTTAATTTTATAATGTTTTCTTTTCAGTTAATTCATCTAAAAATATAAATTATCTTATCATTACTACTACTAAAGATTCAAATGATATAAAATATGAAGGCACCATGAAATATATTATACTGTGATATACTCTGGCCTTTGAAATTTTCAATATAATATTAGATGTGTTAATTTAGTTGTCAATTGGAATAAATTTGATATTTGTTTTTTAAATATATTGGTAGCATGACTCCTTATTGCTGTGAAGATGACCTCTAGGAAAATCAGTTGACTTTGCTGAATACAAATTTCAGTGCTCAGTACAAAATGTTCCCTAGTTATAACCAGATATCGTAGTTTTGATGAGCTATCCCTTACAAAAACTAATGTCCAGATGTTGACTCTAGATGTCATTGTAAGGACAATAATTCTTTTTATGTACAATGTATTGCTTCATAGAATTTTGAGTATCAGTGGTCTGAATTTGCTTTCTTTTAGTTAAAATAGTGTTGGGACCCAGACTTGAAAGAAATCTAGGAAATAGTAGTACCACTTCTTTCTTCTTACTTTTGTTTGTTATAGCAAATGCATCAAAGCTGAAGGTTTTTCATCCCTACAGGTTTGGGATGAAAATCTTGCAAAATCTGCAGAGGCCTGGGCAGCTACTTGCATTTGGGACCATGGACCTTCTTACTTGCTGAGATTTTTGGGCCAAAATCTATCTGTACGAACTGGAAGGTATGAGGCAATTTCACATTGATGCAGTTTATCTATGTGACTATTAATAGAACTCCAAGAAAGAATGACATCACTTTCAAGTAATCCAGAAAATACTTAATTGAATGCTTACCGTATATCAGGCAGTGAGTGATTTTAGGCCTAATGAATATCTTAAATGGTTCCACATATTATATAACTAGGTAAAAAGTCCTAGTAAAAACAGTTTCCTCCTTCACCCTTGGAACACTGTCCTTTAATATGTATTTCTCATTGGCCTTATGGAATCTTACAAAGAATCAAGTATGTGCTGTATCCTGTCTCTTTCCTCAGGAAAAATTCCATGACCATGGCAGAAGCCATTTGTATTGTACGTGATTATGTACACACATGCACAGCCACACATGTGTGTGCACAATTTACCACAGTTGTATATACTTGCACATTAATTGACAATAGACATTTTTATGTTTACACTTATATATGCACACATTCATATATGTGTAAGTAAATGCAACTATGGTGAAGTATATTTTCACTGATAGGATAATTTTTCCACCACTACAGAATGTCATTACCCAACATGCCAAAGACCCATTCTCTTCCATATAAAGGAGTGTACTATTATTAAAAGTAAAGTTGTTCATAGTTAAGGGGAAAATGTGCTGAGTGCTAGTATTGTGACCACTTATATAATCTAATTCTGAGTTGTTTACAGAATTCTAACGGAATAAATTTTTAATATGGATTGAATAAGACTTTAATGATTCTTGAATATTTTCTTTTCTCAAAATAACCTGATATATACTTTGACAAATACAAGGTCATTTACTCCAGCCCTAGAGAAACAAAAAAATACTACTATATGTTGTGAGGGGTGAATACTACTATATATTGTGAGGGATGAATATATTCTTCTATTGTTAGAATTATCTTTAAAAAATTAATTTACAATGTAACATGAGCCCACTAAAAACTATCACTGCTGTACTTTAAGTTCTTTCTTTCTTTTTCCTTTTAACATCTAGATACCGCTCTATTCTCCAGTTGGTCAAGCCATGGTATGATGAAGTGAAAGATTATGCTTTTCCATATCCTCAGGATTGCAACCCTAGATGTCCTATGAGATGTTTTGGTCCCATGTGCACACATTATACACAGGTTATTTCAATTGCTTTGTTAGTTTTTGATTCGTATTTTGAAAAATGTTCTTATTTTGGTATCCCCTCATTGTCTTAGCAATATAGAAAATATTTGTTTATTTTCACAGATGGTTTGGGCCACTTCTAATCGGATAGGATGTGCAATTCATACTTGCCAGAACATGAATGTTTGGGGCTCTATATGGCGACGTGCAGTGTACTTGGTATGCAACTATGCCCCAAAGTAAGTACCAGGTTCAATTCTATTTCCTGGGTCTTTGAATGATGTTAAATATCTCCAGTCTGATAGGCAGGTTTAATAAATGAGGAAAATTTAGGGTTGTAGCCTCTAATCCTCAGATTCATCATCACTCTCATATTTCTGATAAATTATTAGTTTATTTTCACAAAGGCAAATATTCTGGGCTAAAGTCGTAAGCAAAACTATTTGAGACATCTGGACTCACTAAATTCTCCTTACAATCTTTTTTCTGCTGTGGAAATTGTAAACACTGTACTGTACTTCACTGTTTTAATAGCTATATAAAAGCTCTCAAAAAGAGAATCTTTTAAGGAACACCACCATATTTCCATGTATCAGTATTAGGACACTGGCTCACTTTTTTCACTAGGAAAGCAAGACATCTGAAATGAATCCTTTATTTATGTTCTCATTTTTTAGTTTAAAAATATTACTGAGTATCAGCTATGTTCTACATAAAATGTATTATATAAAATAATGTTTAAAATGTATTATAGAAATTTATCAAAGATCATAAATATAGTCATATTTATGAAGATTTTTATAGTATAAGGATCAGAAAACATTTGTCAACATTTGATAACATGCCTTCTTGCTAACAATAATTCTTTAGATGATAAAATGTTCCAATATTTATACACAGTTATGTTCCCACTTGGAATAAATACCAAAATGTGTAAAGGATTTATGATAGTCTTAGTGTCTTCCAAAATAAGTCCCGAACAAAGATTTTCTCCAGTTATTCCAGCATGGGGAGGGAATGAGAAAACGTGTCACGAATAAGTGCATTACTCACTGATATGGCAGGGTGCCGTGGCAGTGTTTTCCTACTTAGAAAAATAGTGATTTCCCGATGGTCCTCTCTTCATATTTATTAGTATGGAGTTGGAAAATAGAATGTGTCTGCATTATTTTTAAAAAGTATTAAATCTATGCATTTGTTTGACATTTTTATTTCCACATTTTATATTTTCCTATTAAGTGTTTACCCTTTCTCCCTGACAAAAATGGGCCAGGTAAGTGAGTAACCAAATGGTCAAAAATATTTTTCTCTCATTTATTTAACTATTCTGCTTTGGTCAATGATTACAATTTTTTCATATTATTGGTGAGATATGTAATTGCTTTATAGGTCCAGGAAATTAAGATTTAGCACTAGTATGCTATATTTCAGTTTTAATAAAAACTTTTTCTGGAACCTAGGTAATAGAAGGTTTTAAAATGCTGACTCATAGCCAAATGTAATTTTTTCATTGCCAATGTAAAGTTATCTCTAGTCAGCTTTTCAGTGAATATAATAGGAGAGGGAGAGAAAAAAGGAGAGAGGGATAGAGAGATAGAAAACTCAATTAGATAAAATAGGGTAAAAATAAAAGAGTGAATAATATATCAGTTATCTGACACTGTTGAATATCATTACCACCTACTCAGTAAAATCTGTGATTTATGTAAAATTTATAACATAATGCACAATATTTTTATTTATAATAAAATTCTATTTCTAAGTGTCTTTACCAAATATGAATCCTATAGTTTCAAAAAGCTATGTAAAATAAACAGAAAAAAATATAAATTTTAAATAGCGCAGCCTGGTCCTATATACTTTTAGAGCTTTGGGTAAATTTATAGAGGAAAATACAGTTATTAATACAGAATGGGACAGGAAGAGGAGAAAAGAGTGAACTATACTCATAAGCAAATAGATCTTGAATGTTTCCAGGTAAGCATGTGATATCATCAGAATTATTCTCAAGGAATCTTATGCTAAAGACAGAGTATGGGATGAATTGAGTAGAGAGAAACAGCCTTAAAATAGCATCTCATTTTGTAATGTTAATAGTTAATTAGCAAGTACTCTATTTTATGGATAAATTTTCCTGTATAGATATTTTGTGGATAAGTGTCTAGATTTTTAAGTGACTGGCTTTACTAGAAGTTTTTATATTCTTTATAGTCATTTATTGATCTTATTTAAGTTTAAAGAAGGCAAAGACCACGTGCTTCACGCTGTGTCTTTTCACCAGTCTTATCTCCAACCATGATTTTTTTTACTATTGATGAACACATCTTTTCCTCGCTGTCTAATTTCCTTTACATTGTTATCTACATTAGTATTTCTTAATACTAAAGTTATTAATCACCATGCTACCTACCCAAGTTACATTTATTGTCCTCACCTTCTTAATTAAAAGACTCACATTACAGAAAAGTATCACAGCAATTTCTTAACTGTCATTAATGCTGACTTTGGTTTATTAGTACAGTCATGGACATCAAACAGTGAAAGAGAAATATTGGTAATACAAAGTAATTCAATGAATGGCATTGTTCAATATCATCAAACCCTAATACCATTAACTAAAAAAGTGAAGTAGACATGGATTTATATATGGGCAAAGGGTTTGGAATCATCCTTCATTGCTCCTATGAGCCTTTTTCTTTTACTATGCCAATACAGTGGGCTGGGTGGGGATGTAGTTCAGTAGATTGCTTATTTTATGAAAATTGGAATCTAAAATGTTTTACCATTTACAAACAATTCCTGTGAAAAATTTAATTTATTCATTGTATATATGGTGAATTCTCACTCATTCCATCATTTCTAAGCCTCCTAAAAAATGCCAACATTTTTAAACTAGACTTAAAGATCATTAGCATGAGTTTAGGAGGAATAAGTTTAAGTGACCATGGCCTAATCATGTGCTTTAAAAAGTTTCTACAGGAGACAGGTGTGTGTATATATGGGGGTGCAATAAGCTCAGCACCCCATGACTTCATGATATCATCACGTATGCAGGAACTCACTTTGTATCTGTAAATTAAGATAATATTAATTCACTCAGAAGAAAAGCATTTAAAAAGCAAGATATACAGACTGAGTTATAGAAATAAGAAGTAAATGTAACTTGAAGTGATTTTCTAAAATAAACTCAAAAAAAGATGATCACATGTCAATACATGAGAGTATATGTTTAAGAATAATATAATTTTGGGCCGAGGATGTAGCTCGGTGCTGCCGTGCCTGCCTGGAAAGTGCAAGGTCCTGAGTTCAATGATCCCTGGTACCAAAAAAGAATATTCTAATTTTTCAATGCATGAGTTGCACTAATGCGATCTTTTTTTTCTCTTGCTAGGGGCAATTGGATTGGAGAAGCACCATATAAAGTGGGAGTACCATGTTCATCTTGTCCTCCGAGTTATGGAGGATCTTGTACTGACAATCTGTGTTTTCCAGGAGTAACATCAAACTACCTGTACTGGTTTAAATAAGCTTGCCTTTTTTGCCCCCAGAAAATATAATGGTTTCTGGGAGTCATAGGCATAAATGTATATTGAATTTTGCACATATTATACATATTTTATGATAATCATGTTTTTATGTTAGTATCCATTTGTATAGTGTTTGTCTAGTATATTGTTTAAACGTTGGCTATAATCAGAACAACCATTTCTATTTTTTGACCTCTAAGTCTAAATTAAAATATTTTATATGTAGTGATAAAATAATTCTTGCATCCAATTCCAAAACTTGCATTACAAAGGAGTTATAGTATTATGTTCCTAAGGAATAAAATACTTGTTCAATCTATAATGTATTCATATGTATATATACATATGCATACATACAAACATACTATATCATGTAACATAAATAATATGGTACTACAGTTGAGGGAAATTGAAAAACTATTTTAAAGTATATTTGAGGTTGTGGGGCATGTTCAGCCCCATTTCTGTGATATCCACAAAGTAATACTTTACAAAATAATACTAAACAGCATTTGGAATTGATAATTTAATTAAGCAAACATAAATTTCATTCTGGAGATATTTTATCTCATTTGGGTCCATCAAAGTACATGATCAGTTTATGTCTTTTACTTAGTTCATTTTCTTCAATCAGTAGTCACATGTTGAGTGCTTACTGTATACAAGAGAGTCTGTTGGTTATATTCTGATAATGCAAAGATAATTAGACATAGTTCTGGCCCTGAAGAAGCTCATAATGATATTCAGGAAATAAAGCCACCTAGTAATTTTTCTGAAAATTTAATTTTTAGCAAATTAAATTTTATGTGGTTTTAAGCAAGCAAACGCAGTAACCAGCTTCATCTCCAGGTGGACTAAATCACAAGCTAAGTTGATATGTAAAGCTTCTCATTCCCAGGAAAATTTAGCTAGAGTACTTGGAACAAGAAGGGGAAGGGAAAAGTTAACAACTGCTCACAGATTTCTGGAGCAGAATAGATAGTTACAACTTTGGAAAGCTGAAAGCAAGATGCTCAGAAAACTGATGAAGTCCAAAATATTAAGATTTGGGGGATAGATGTGAAAAATCCCAGAAATAAGGTAATTGGAAAAAAAGACAGGTATATAGTTTCAGATGTGCATATTCTGACAGCATAATCCATTTTGAGGCCCATCAACAAGTGGTGAAGCTTTCAGAGATGTGGGGACTGCATCTCTTCTATCTCTTACTGCCTTGCCTATCATTATTTGTTGAGACTCAATGTACTTATCATCTTGGTTCTTTGAGTATTATGGATCCTTCATGCATACTACGTGCAGACAGGATTTTGTTAATACCCTTTTTGGATATTTTTCCAAGTTGTAATTACCAAATTTTATTTCTGTTTCTGTAAAAGAAAAATGTTGAGTCCTTTATTAACTTTGATTATGAAAATCGAGCAAGTCATTATGAAAATTTCAGTTATGTTTGTTTTGTTTCTTTGAGACAAGGCCTCACTTTGTAGTTCAGGCTTGCCTTGAACTTACTGTGTAGCCCAAGTTGGCCTTGAAGTCCTGGCTATCCTCTCGACTCAGCCTCCTGAGTGCTAGGATTACAGGCATGTGCACCATGCCCGGTTGAAAAGTTAACTTAAGTGATATGGAAATACAACATTTCCTTATTAATGAAATCCTTTTCAGGGAGGAAAATAAAACAAGTTGGTCAAGGCAACCTAGCATATCACATTTCAAATCTATGCATTTTGTTGAGTATAATGCTTCTATAGGCTTATAGAGCAAGTAAGCACAGTTAGTTTCAGAATGCAAATAACAGAAGGAAGCTACTAGTTTAAATTCTGTGCACATTTGCAGTTTCTTTGGGTGGATACATTGAAGGATGACAGATAACTAATTAGATGCATTCAATGGGAAAAGAATCCAACATCTGGAAATTGGGTCTATTTGATGACTAACAACTGGCCTAATTATGTTTATAAATTGAATGTGTTGACCAAATGTTTTGCTGTCATACCACCCTGCCTTTGTGGGCACACATATGGATGCTATTAAAAATACACATTTTGAGTAATAAAATGAAGTAATTCTATGATTTAGGCCCCAATCCATAAGATATCTAAGAAACTGGAGGGAGACTCCATGAGTGAGATATTTGCTTGATTTAGCTAGAAAATATTTACATCTTTAATATGGCTGTAGTATTCTATGAAAACTCCAATAAGTATTAATAAATAATTTGACATCTAAGTTCCAATTCCCTTGCTGGCTTACTTACATAGTTGATTTCTTAGTTCTACAGAAGAATGCTGGTATTTGCTACACATTTCACAGAGGCTCTTATGAAGGTAAATTTAGCATATTAATAAAAAATTATGAAAATTAAAATTTTCATTAATAGAGTTCCTTTTGGGTCAATCTTTGTCTAATGCTTTGCATTTATCTTAGATTTTTAAAGATAGTGGATGTAATGTAATATGTTTATTTGAATAGACTTTTACAATTCGCTAAAAAGTCTAGAATTGGAACAATTTTGAAGAATTTCACCTTTCCCTTCTTTTTTTAAACACAAAAATCTCTTAGCTATAAACCATTTAATGTAACAGAAATCCAGATAAATTGTCAAACTAATCTGATTAAGACTAGAATCTACACACTTATAAATTATGCTTGCATAACAGTTCTTTCTAAACTACAAATAGAACAGTAAGCTATGTATAATTTAACAACTAAGCTGAAATATAATGGGTATGTTTGTCATTCTAGCTTTACTTTTTAAAGTTAGTAATATAAAATGGCCATGTGAAATATTTTATTTTCTAGGTTCAAGTAAATGAAAGTTTGCTAGTATCAATGCAGTTTTTCATATTTTTCATAGCATGCAACAGTGGTGCTAGGATAACTATTTTGCACTGTAATTCCCAGAGGCAGAAAGGGCCTGGGTCTAAGCTATTTCATAAGAGCAGCTTTAAACAGTACTGAGATTTTCACTTGGAAAAGTTTCATTTAAAAGAAATGGTAATTGGCATACATGTTCTACAGTATTGATTTTTCTTTCTAACCATTCTTCATTCAATAGAAAAGTCAGAATATTATTTAGGTTCTTGGCCTCCATATCAAATAAAGAATGAAAAAATACAATTTTAGTTATTAAATAGATGGATTTCTTTTAAAAATTATCTGCAAATTGTGTAGGGAGTCTTAATATTCCTACTTATGACAAATAAGCTTGCTTTGAAAACATGGAAGAAATAATGGTTACTATTGCTTTGGATTTTGTTCAATAGGGTAAATATAATATCTCTGTAGCCCATCACAGCTTCCCTATCAACTCCGTTTGGTGGTGCTGACATTTTCCATCTGAAACACTCGAGAAAACGTTCTCTTGCAAGTTTTATGCAGCTGTAGGACAGAGATGACCACATAGCAAGTCAATTCAACCAACACAGTGTACTCAGAACATTTGAACTGAAATGATATATATTTCCTCATTTATACATACTTGTGTTAAGTCAGTTTACAACATCTATATAAATAAACCTAATACATTTATGCAAGTGTAAATGTTTTAGATTCATGCCCTGTCTATTAAATAAGTGCAGAGTCTAAACTGCTAAGTTGAATGCTTCCGTGAAGGAATTGTAATTCTGAAACTTTGGTCTTCGTTTTTTTCCAGTATAACAACATCCATTAGGCTCCACAATAGCACAGGAGGCAAATCCTCACACAAATGGAAGCCTTTGCCTACTCAAGTATTTAGGGATGATAAAATTATATTTCTATTAATATTTAACATTTTCTTCCTTATTATAATATTTTATAGTGTCAAATCTGTAGGTGAAGACATTTAAATATATGCAAAAATGATTTTTGAAATTATGACATGGTCTAACTTTAATTTATGACAGGCCAATCAAAAACTTAGATTGTTTAGCAATTCACTGGTTAATGGTGCTAAGAACACATTACAATCACCATATTCTTGCTTCAATTTTGAGGATTGTCTTTGCAATTGAAGTTATTAAATGTGAGCTCTCAATATCTATTCTGGTGCTAAACATATGGTGCTAAATAAATTGTTAGTGTTAATGGCTTTAGTAATGTTCCTTTATTCATTAAATTCTTGATTCAGAAATATTAATAAAAATCCTATTTTAAATTAATCTTCACCAAAAATAGGTCAGTTAAATCTGTTTTATTTAATAATCAACATTATTTAAGTGCCTCAGAATTCAAATACATTTCTTTAGCAGTCACCACTTTTCTTCTTTAAAGCATTTGTTAGCTTGCCAATTTCCAAACTCAAGAAATCACCTGAAGGTTAGATGATTTCACCGCTTGTTAACCATACTGCAGGCCCTGGCGCCCTCTGCTGGTTATGAAAACAAATTATTGATGGCTTCTTGGCCAAAGCAAAAGTCTCTTGCTGCCTGTAAAATTTTAAGTTGCACAACGTTAGTGTTCTTGACTATGCCCCAATAGTACAATATTTAAAAGTGCTTGACTCCAGTGATATCTTTTTCTTAAAGGATAAAGGAGAGTTAACATCATGGTGCTCACTTTCCTAAATATTATTTTTACATTATTTTCCAGTTCTAAGGGTGCTTATTAAAATGTTTTTTATTTTCTTTTGTGAAACAGGTATTGCTAAAACATATTTTTATTTGGTTTATGTCGTAAGTACAATTATAATTACAATTAGTGAAAAGAGTTATACTTGTGTCTCATTTTCAAGAGTATTTTTAGTTAGCACAGTACATGAGATTAAAAGGAGATATACTAAATAACTGGTACATCTATAAAGGAATGATCTCTCCATCTTTAACTGTTGGTGTATAATTCAGCAATGTTGTTTGGTCATACTATTGAGCAAATCATACAATTTTATTATTCCATTCCAAGTCCTTCTAGCCTGTAAACATATGTTTCTTACCTGCTAGTGAAATTGTATCTCCAAAAACTAGAGAAGGCAATGAATATTCACAGGTAAACTTCCAGTTCAGATATGTAATTGGCTAGGTATTGTAAATTATCTATTTTTTGACATATTTCTTAAACTAAATTAGCATAATCAAATAAAATTTACTTTGAAGTTATTTTCTAAATATTTTGAATAGAATCTTTCTTATGCTCTAAACTTTACATGCAGAGCCCCAAAGTAAAATACCCATAAAATGGACCTACTCTTTTCCTTAGTGCCAGGGAACATTTTTCTCTGAACCTTAAGATTCCATTAAACAGAAAATATGGATTTAAATTATCCAGTACTTCCTATTTTTTCTTAAACAATCTGCTAATGAAAAAACCCTAAATCCCAAAACATCTGAGGGCCTAAATTAATGGTTATTTTAAATATTCAGTTTGCATGTGCTAGCAGTTCATTAGTTTGGAAGAGAATCATATGATGGGCTAAACTGGTGCTTGGTTGCATATTATAGCATCTTGTGTTTTGTTATTTGATAAGAAGAATCTTGGTACCATCCTATACATTAGAGATTATTGCAATGCATATAAGGAAACAGTATTTTTTAAAACACATACTATGTTTAAAATATTTATATAGTCTTGAATCATATTGTATCATTTCTGATTTTTTCAAAAAGATGAATTTGGTGAGTTTGATTCAGTGCCTAATGCTGTGGTGGTGCCTTTGATGTCATGAAATAATGTCAGAAATGTGTACATCTATAACACCTGTGCAAACTTCTGTCCTGATGAATCATAACAAATGTAGCATTTTGAGTCCAATATATTATTTTTCATTTTAATAAAAGATTCTGATGAATTATTTTGTTTAAAGTATGTTTTATCCCTTATTTCAATAGATCTTAAAATAGACTCAGAGTTAAACAACATGATAGTTCTGATAAATGACCTCTTTTTCTCAAGCAACAATGATTATAACTTTAGTGCATCACTGAAATACACCAATTTTTCTATTTTCCTTTGTCTTTTCCTTTTCTATCTCTTGATCTCCTGACCTTCTTCTTCCACTAAATTTCAGAAAATATTTTGAAGTATCAATTTAGAAGATATTCCCATAGAAAAGAAAAGATGTTCTAACTGAGGAAAGTTGCTTGCCTCCCATACAGAGGACCTAGGAGACACTGTAGGAATTTCTGGGAGAAAGGGGGCTTCTTGGGCCACCAGTCAGCTAATAATTTCCAGGGTGGTTCATCTCTTTGATAACATGGTAGATCTCTCAGGCTAGTTCCCTTAAAATGTAACAGAATCTAGGATTTTTATTTAAAATTATTCTAGATACACGTAAGACTAGAAACTTCACTAATTTAGACTTTTCAAAGAGGGCTTCCCACTGCAATCTTTTGGGCTCTCTCCACTTCTCTTTACTAATAATAATCTTTGTTCCCATCACTTCCTCCTATTTCAAGCCTCCAGTTTACACTGACACCTTTGGGAAGCTCTTTCCATCTCCAGAGGGGGTTCCACTGTTGATCTGTGTGTGTGTGTGTGTGTGTGTTGCTACAAGTTCTAGGTCCATAGACTAGGCCTGACACAAACGAAAGCTCACTCTCCCCATCTTGTAGCAGTAGGTAGGGAAATAATTCATTCCCCGATACAGCAGAATATGCTTCTGTAGGTACTGCCTCTTCCTGCTGCCACCTGACTCCCCCAGTTCCTTTCGAGATAGTAAATCTTAACTTACTGCAGGAGTGACACCCCTGTCTCAGCAAACTGGAGAGAGGGCATCCATCCTTGTTGAATCCTTTTGATCCCGATGCTCTTCCTTCAGGAGAGACTAATGAGATCCTGTCATATTTCCCTCACTGACAGCCTACTAATTGAGGGGAACATGCCAGCTTTTGAAAAGATGAATGGGTTTTACTAAACTTGAGTATAGACAGGAAGTTATTCTTTGAATTTCTACATGATACATTGAGCAACAAAATTAATACCTCAAAAATATTTTCTTGTGAAAATAAAAAGTGCATGGAGGTAGTATAACTGTTTCATTCTAAAAAATAAAAAGCATGTGAAAACTCTACAAACTCTAGAATTTGTCAACTATAAATCGCAGAATTTGAGAATATCTTTTAAAATTACATATTCATTTACTCTTTGGCCTAGAAATTCCTCTTCTACAAATCCTTACCAAAGATACACTGGCAAAAAATGAAATGGCATATACAATGTTACAGAGCATTATAGCATCATTTGTAATAGCATAATACCAAAAGGCCAGACATAAGCCCAAGTACATCAGAAAGAGATCCACTAATTGGTAGGTTCACATGAGGGAAAACTGTTGTCTTATTCCTTCTGGGTTGTTATGAGCACAGATGTGGTGCTCATAAACTGTAGACATTTATCTCTCACAGTGCTGGAGGCTGGAAGTCTGAGATCAGGATGCAGGTCCAGTTCTGGTGCTCTGAGGGTGCTCTTATGGTTGCATGTTGCCCTCCTCTTCTAGCCCCACATGGCAGAAAGAGGGTGAGGTTGCTCTTTGAGGCCTGTTTTATGAGGAAAATAATCCCATTTGTGATGGCTCCACCCCCATGATCTAATGACTTCCCAAAGGCCTCACTTCCTACTACTATCACCCTGGGGGTTAGAATTTCAACACTTGAATTTTATAGAGACACAAACATTCAGTCTCTGACAACTGTGTAGTTGAAAAGCAGTGAAAAAACTTTCTCTGAAAGTGGTCTTCCAGGATGTATTGCTATGAAAAATGAATGGTACACAAAAATATAACCAGTAAGCTACATCACAGGAAAAATTAGAGGGAAGTTACATGCATTTGTAGCAATACTTGCTTTTACTTGCAAAAAGAAAAGTGAAATAATGTATTTAAAAAGAATAAAGTTGAATATTTTGGGGAATAACAAAGGAACAGGATATATAGTCAAATATATTTCAAATAATTTTAAAGGGCAATATTCTGAGAGCACATCCTTAATGGAACATAATGTAAAGTCAAGGTTGCAAAGAAATATTGAAGTTTATTCAATAGTCTATTGGTAAATTATCAGTGGGGAAAGAGAGTAAAGAAATAAGAATAATGAGCTTAAGCAATTAAGACTCCTTTTCTCAGGAAACAAACTTTTTCAATGTAAATGAAAAGAGGTAAAATTTCAAAAAATGTTAAATACCCACTAACATAGTAACTGTGAATGTGGAATATGAACATTAATATCAATATTAAGTAATATTTTCTTTTGGAAAAATTAATACTAAAAATATTAGAAGAGTGAAAAGTCCTAGCAGCTCTCATAATGCAGTGGGAATACGTGAGTTTAGTACTCAATTATTGTGTCTAAAACCATTCACCATAAAATTAATAACACTTGGCCTCACTTCAACCTTTTCCAAGAAACCACTGCTTTTACTAATGGTGCACAAAGTGGGATTTGTGCTCTCCAAGAAGTACACAAGACAACCATCGAAAGTAGTGCTTTAAAAAATACAAGAGTTTTTATTTTTACTTAATTGTATCTTCAAAAGAAAGAAAGAAATTAAGATTTCCTATAAAATCATGTATCAACAGCAATTGTTCCCTGTTGGCCCACACATCTTTTGACAAGAGGGGTGTCTGAAGAGAAGAGCCCAGTGGTCTAAGGCTTCTCCAGTCCCTCGGGTGCCTGTTTACTTACTATTAAAGCTTCTTCACACATTACACTTTCCTGAACCAGGTAAGATTAACTAATTTTGAAATCCAACTTTGCCTTACCATTGACAAATATTCTCAGAAAACTCCTGTAGAACTAGGACTGAATATAACAAATGAACAAGCTAACATGAAGGAAATTTAACAGCTGATGATTACCTTGCCTATGACAACACGCTTCTGTCATTCACATTATGAGGTAAAATAATGCTGACTTAATCAGACATGACAGACTAACCAAAGAATTCAAAATTTCCAAGACTAGGTAGAATAATAAACATGCTCTTAATGATGACATTTGTCTTGATTGATTTGTTGGTGACAGTTAACGTATCATGATTAGCAAATGTTTTTTAAGCCAAAATAAATATAAAATGATTCTTGAAGTTAGATACCAGGAAAACTTTTCAAAATATTTGATCATATTCCCCTAAAAATGATAAATATTAATAAAATTAATACTAAAGATATAGTAACAGAAATCAAAATAATATTTTGGTAAAGCAAAATATTTTTATAATTGATAAAATGTTTTGTTTTATTTTAAATATTTCATTATTTATATCTTATAATGAGTGTACTATACTAGTTCAGGGGATCTGTGAGACCTAGTGTCAAATAAATATTAGTGTATCCTATAATTTATATCATATATAGTTAGTGGATGTGCAAGATCCAAAACTTTTTGCCAATTTGTATACACAGCAGTAAGTATGGAGATGACGAGCCTGAATACCAAGGCAGTTTCCTACCATGTCTTTCTGCTTCCACCTTTGATGTTTGATAGTCTGGACTACAGAACATCTGGATTGATTTTTTAAAAGGAAAAGCACAACCACTACCTTTCCTGCAGGAAAATTTCCAAGGGCATTCCACATGCTCCTGGTCAAGGCTGAAACCCCTTGCTACTTACACTAGCTCTATGGGGCTGTGGCTTCCGCCTCATTGCTTAGCCTCCATCTCTGCATCTTGCTGTGCACTCTCTCTCCTCCATTTGCTTTTTCTCCTACCAAGTTCACCCCATCCTAGGGCTTTTTCACTTGTTTTTTCCTCTAACTATAACACTTGTCTCCCAGAATGTCATGTGGCTTTTCTCTCTCTTCATTGTGATCCTTTCTAAAAGACACTCTTTTAACTCCCAGGTCCAAAATAACCATCTTATCCTTCATAATGTTCTTAATTTGCCTTGGCATTGTTAGCCTCATTGCATTAACACTAGAAGGATGTGAAGGTGTGTGTAAGTATGCGTGCGTATGTAGGCTCGTAAATTGCCTTATACTCTCATATGTTGATTTAATGGCTTTCTCGTCCTCTACAATATATGTTTCATGAGGACAGAGATTTTTGCTTCCTTTATTGCTATATTCCTAGAGCTTGAAAATGTATTTAGTATTTTAATATTTAGTTTTTAGTACTAAATGAACTTTAGTATTTAGTTCTAAATGTATTTAGTACTTTAGTATTTAGTATTATTTGATATTTATTTAGTATTTAGAATCCAGTAGTTATTTGTTAAGTAGACCAATGAATAAATGGGATTCTAAGACTTAAATGAAGTGAGGTATGTAAAATATTTAACCTAGTTCCTCATAATGTAAACACAAATCATTATTTATCATAATTATAGATTTAGAATAGAAATAACTAATTATCTCTGGGACCTATATCCTCAGAGAGTTTTGCTAACAGTGTTAATTTGCCGTACAGGCAGGCAAGCAGACCTATTTTCCCAGAAAACCAATACTTCTCATGTGTTAAATTACCTTTTTTTTGTTTAAGTGTAATTGGAATCTGAATTAAACAAATGCCCTTTGGGGAACAAGCTCCTGTAGTCTAAGTGATCCACTCATGAAATAGATTACCTACAGAGACATTTTTATTTTGACCCCCCCATTTCACCCTTACATAGTGAAGAATGAGGAAAAGAAAGAACATTCTGGAACAGCAAAACCAGGTTCTTCTGTTTCTTCTTTCTACAATGTGTGTATTGAAAGTGAGAGTAAGCCACAGAGAAAGAAGAAGAGACAAAAAGAGGAGGGCAGTAATTCCAATGCAAATTTAAAAGGGCAACCTGGGAGTGACAGAGCCAAAGGACACCCTGAAACCCAGGCCCTCCCCTCATTGTACTTAGGAAGCTCCCCTGTAGAGCAGCTGAAAAGAAGAACTCTTTCAGCTGGGTTCATGAAACCAATTTGAAGCAGAAACAGCTTCACATGGAAAAAAGAGTGTAAATAGATGAAATATCTTTTTAGATATATAACAATGAAATGGCTATATAAAATATATTAATTTTCTGGTAGATTATAAATGCCTTCTGAAATAGAATATAATGTCTATATATTTTTAATATTTTTCCCAATTTTTAATAGACTCAAAAGCAATAGTTGACCTTTTGGTGTTATCTTTCTAGGTAAGGAAGAATGATGCTGAGTAATGTTTTACAGAGGGGGTATGTTGACACTTCGGGTGACAAAAATTTTACTGTGAAGGGCTAGCCCATGTCTTGAAAGGCATTTTTCACAGGGCTTCTTGGAGCACTAATGGCCAGTGGTAGAAATTTCTCCAGGTTTTACCCTATGGCAACAACCAAGATTACCTGCACATATTTTTATTTTTTAATTTAATTTTTTTTTTACCAAGATTACCTACATATATTTTTAAATGCTCTTCTGGACAGGGAGAGGTATTGTCATATTCTACATTAAGAACCACTGATAGGGATACTCATGAGTAAACAATCAAAACTGGTCTGATTAATACACTAAAATCCTCTGTGGGTGTCTCATCCCTACATTTTATTGTAATGATGCACATAATTGCTCATTTTTTTCTGAATTCCAACTATAAGGCAGACATTTTTTCAGATTTTAGAGGCATACAGCTAGCAAACCAGATAAAAAAATCATATTTTCATCAACTGTACATTCTGGACAGAGGAGATCAATAATAGACAAACAGGAAGGAAACATGGAAGAAGGCAGAGGGTAATAAATGCTATGGGGAAAAAATGAGGTGAAATGAAGATAGGAAATACAGAGGAAGGCACTTAATTTTACATAAGGGATCAGGAAAGGCTTAATGAACAGCCCAGCAGGGATGTGAAAGGTTTAATATAGTCATGAGAAGTCTATACCTAGGCTTCTATTAAATAGACCTTAGAGGAAGAAGTTTCCAGGCAGAGGAAGAAGATGGGCAAGGCCGTGTGGCAGGACTATGCCATATGTTTACAATGATGCAGCAAAGGGAAAGAAGAAATCAGTTTCACAAATGAGGTCAGGGGCATCACAAACTACAAGGTTGTGTAGGTCTGATCATTTTAAGGATTTTGACTTTTATTCTGAGAAATGGCCACTGAGAGTTCTGAGCAGAAAAGTGCCATGATTTGACTTTATTGACTTTATTGGCCCTCCCCTGTGCTGAGATCAGAGTTCATATTTGTTTGAGTATATATTTTATAATTGTTTATTTCTCTATAACTTCTTACATTTTTTTTTCTAAAGATGAATGCATTCCCTGATAGCACTTATACTCCTACATTCCCCAACATTTTTCTTGACTTCTGTAGTGTTTAAATCATCTGGATGTTATTTGCATGTGTATGTATATGTTTGTCCTCCATAGTGCAAACTCTTTATGGCTTTACTCTTATCTTCTCTGGGATTCTGATTTCTCCATTTACAAGGGACTCTTTCCTTTGAGCAATGATGGCACTTGAACTATATCTCCATTACTGCATTTGCTGCCTTGATTATTACCTCCCTTGTTACATATTCATAAACATTCTAAAAATAGTGTAGTACAAGGTCTGTGCTACGATTATCTCTGTATTAGAAAGTATTAGCACAGAGCAGTCAGGAAAGTGCATGTGATTTTTATAGAAAATCATGAGAATAAAGTTAAAGGAAACATTGATTAGGAGTGTGAGGAACATTGATTGTAAGTTCTAAAACATGGTTCCCCATTCTATTTATTTTATTAAAAGTATTTTCACCAGCTTTCCACCAGCCACCAGGACAAGGTGAGGAGGAAACCCCCCCAACCCCAGGCAGGCCCACCAGCTGAAGGCTGCACCACACGGGCACCTCCAACAATACTCCCCCACCCCCCACCCTGGCCTCTGGCCTTTTGGCTGTGCAGCTACTTGGTTACACACTGCAGAGGCACAGGGAGACAAAAGCCATTGTCCTGAGCTCCAGAAGTGAACAACAGAGAGAGTGCCTGTCTCAGGCTCCTTGATGAAAACAAGCCCACTGGAAAAATGAAGGGTATCTCTGCAATAAAGGCACACCAGACCACTGTGATTGGTAAGTTGGAGGGATGATCAGCTCCCATCGGAAACTGGACATTCTTCAGGGGAAAAGCAGCTGAAACCTGCAGTAGAAACTTCATAATATCAACCCAGGAACTAAACCAGGGACAGTACCAAAAACAAAAATGAGAAGGCATTTAGGCAAGTCAC